CAAATTATCTTGTTCTGTTGCTCTGCTTGTGGAGTTCCCGTTCCCTCTAGCTCTTACTATTTCCCACTTCTTACATAAAATTCCATTCACTCTGCCCATCAGTTGGCCATCAGGCTCAGCATCTGCTTTGACAGTCTATACTGCAGAAGCTTTCAGAGGCCCTCTGTGGCAGGTTTCAAGGTTGTTTCCTGTTTTCTTCTGGCTTTCAGAGGCCCTCTGTAGCGGGTTCCGAGGTTGTTTCCTATTTTCGTTTTCTTCTGATGTACATCCTCTTTGCCTTTCAGGATGGGGATTGAACATTTTAGTTAGGGTCCTCTCTTTTGCTTAGTTTGTTTAGATGTACAACTTTTAGTGGGTTTATTCTATATTGTATGTTTATATGAGTGAGTATATACCGTGAGTGTCTTTTTGCTTCTGGGTCAACTCACTCAGGATGATCCTTTCCAGGTCCCACCATTTACCTGCAAATTTCATGATTTCCTTATTTTTCATTGCTGAGTAATACTCCATTGTATAGATGTACCACAGTTTCTGCATCCATTCTTCAGTTGAGGGGCATCTGGGTTGTTTCCAGCTTCTGGCTATTACAAATAAAGCTGCTACAAACATGGTTGAACAAATGTCCTTGTTGTGTACTTGCGCCTCTTTTGGGTATATGCCTAGGAGTGGTATGGCTGGATCTTGAGGAAGCGCTATTCCTAGTTGTCTGAGAAAGCGCCAGATTGATTTCCAGAGTGGTTGTACCAGTTTACATTCCCACCAGCAGTGGAGAAGCGTTCCCCTTTCTCCACAACCTCTCCAGCATGTGTTGTCCCTTGAGATTTTCATCTTGGCCATTCTGATGGGTGTAAGGTGAAATCTCAGGGTTGTTTTGATTTGCATTTCCCTAATGGCTAATGAGGTTGAGCATTTCTTTAAGTGCTTCTCTGCCATTCGATATTCCTCTGCAGAGAATTCTCTCTTTAGCTCTGTTCCCCATTTTTTAAGTGGATTACTTGGTTTGTTGCTTTTCAGCTTGTTTAGTTCTTTATATATATTGGATATGAGTCCTCTGTCAGATAGAGGGTTGGTGATGATTCTTTCCCAATCTGTAGGCAGTCGCTTTGTTTTGATGACGGTGTCCTTTGCTTTACAGAAGCTTTTCAATTTCATGAGGTCCCATTTATTGATTGTTGCTCTTAGAGCCTGTGCTGTTGGTGTTCTGTTCAGGAAGTTTTCTCCTGTACCAATGAGTTCTAGGGTATTCCCCACTTTTTTTTCTAGCCAATTTAATGTGTCTGGTTTTATGTTGAGGTCTTTGATCCACTTGGACTTCAGTTTTGTGCAGGGTGATAAGTATGGATCTATTTTCATTTTTCTACATGTAGACATCCAGTTGGACCAGCACCATTTGTTGAAGATGCTATCTTTTTTCCATTGTATGGTTTTGGCATCTTTGTCAAAAATCAGGTGTCCGTAAGTGTGTGGGTTTATTTCTGGGTCTTCTGTTCGATTCCATTGATCCACCATTCTGTTTCTATGCCAGTACCATGCAGTTTTTATGAGTGACCCCAAAAACTCTACCAGGGAACTCCTACAGCTGATAAACACCTTCAGCAAAGTGGCCGGATATAAAATTAACTCAAAAAAATCAGTAGCACTCCTGTATACAAAAGACAAAAGGGCTGAGAAAGAAATTAGAGAAACAACACCATTCACAATAGCCACAAATGACATAAAGTACCTTGGCGTAACCCTAACCAAGGAAGTCAAAGACTTGTATGAAAAAAATTTCAAGTCTCTGAAGAAAGAATTAGAGGAAGATATGAGAAGATGGAAAGATCTCCCATGCTCATGGCTTGGCAGGATTAACATAGTAAAAATGGCCATCTTACCAAAAGCAATCTACAGATTTAATGCAATTCCCATCAAATTGCCAACACAATTCTTTACAGACCTGGAAAGAAAAATTCTCAACTTTGTATGGAATAACAAGAAACCGAGAATTGCTAAAACAATCCTCTACAATAAAAGATCTTCTGGAGGTATCTCCATCCCTGATCTCAAGTTGTACTATAGAGCAACAGTTATAGAAACTTCTTTCTTTATTTTCTTTTCCACACACAAATGGAATAATGCATTTAAGTAATGACAACCCTTTAAAATGCAAAGCAAGCAGAAACAAATAAGTAAACAAACAAATAAAGGTACTTCACTTTAAAAGCTGTCAACCCTAGGATGCAATTTTCGCATTAAATAAACATACAAGTAGTTAAAGGGTACTTAATACCTCCCGCATGAGTTGGAAATAATGTCTCCAGAAAGTGTGGGTATATGATAACACATATCCAGGGCATAACTCGCAGTCACATGGAAATGAGGGTTGAAGTGACTTGACATTGACAATTCTGAATAAGAGTAAATATCAACACTGAGGCAGCTTTCAGAAAAGGGAACTTTATCTTACTTATCACAAGTATGTTTCAACCCAAAGGATTGTCTGACTGACTTTTTGTCATTACAAAGCCAGCCATCTGCCCACTTTATTTCTAGCACAATAAGATATTTTTTTTATTTTAAAGCTGTGAAGATAAATTTGTAGGCATCTGAGACTTCTGTATACACATAGTAGAAATCGTTGCTCTCAGTCGATTGGAAAAACTGTCAATACTTGAGTGTCTTGTTTTTAAAAGGTGTTGAAGAAAGCTTGTCAGATTACCAGAGTTCCAATTTGGCTCAAAAGGAAAGGCAGAAAATGACGTAGGTGCCTTTGGTGTTGCCACCCTCTTGAAGTAAGCCTCATCTCACACTTTGTCACACTCAGAAAACAAAGCACATGACAGATGAAGAATCCACAGCCCTCCTTGCCAGCAGGAACATATCATGGAATACTTGTGTCAATTTCATAGATTTCTAACAAGCAGATGACTGTTTTTTTCAAATCTGATTTTCCTTCAGCAGCCCAGTTTTTCCTTCTATGAGTAAGACAGATTCATCTCCGTGATGACAATAGTGACTCCTCTGCTTAGCTCCAGCATAACACATTAAGCAAGCCTCTACATGAGGCTTACTTAAACATACTGTCCCCCTTGAAGAGACTGTACCAAGGTAGTGTTTTGGGCCTTAGTTAAATTTGTTGCTTGAACTGGCAATAAATCTGTTGCTGTTGTCTGAGGTGGTCATGTCATCCTGATTGATTGACCAGGTGAAAGCAGCAGGACTGAGGGTTAGATATACCTCCTTCTTGCTGCTTCCAGTGTGTTCCCAGCCTCAGCAAGGTACTCCCTCGGGATAGTTCCCATATACAATGCCTGGTGGAGATCAGGTACTTTGCATAAATTTTCTAATTGTAACAGAGCAAACAGAGAAACCTAGTTACAAAGATGCCCTTCAGACCTTGCCAGGTGAAATGCTGATGCTTGTGGCAAAGAAGCGACACTGGTAGGAAGAACAGCTAAAGAGTGAATTTAAAAAAAAAAAAATTGTGAAATCTGCAAAGGAGCAAACTGATAAGATACAAGGAAATAATACAGTAATCATAAATCTGTAACTGCTATGCTGTATTAGAAAATGTGTTGTGTAAGAAAAAAATGTTTTTTGCATTGTTCCTGAATGCATTTGGAAACCACATTAATGTATACAGACGCGTGCACCTGCTACCAGCTTTGAACTAGGATAATCACTATCCACACTACTGAGAGGGACGTTTGAACTGTTGGTGGATTTGTTCCTCGGATACTGCTTTTGCAGATTTAATTGCAAATCTGTTTTCTTCTGGTTGTTTTAGTTGTTTTGAATCTGCCCATGGATATTGGGAACAGGCAAAATCAAATACTAAAGGCTTAATAGACTATTCTCACTTCACTCTTTGTGCTTAATCTGCTTGCTGAAATCTTGAATCTTTCACAACTACATGCATACATTTTTCATTTATCCCCTCTTCTCAGGTGCAAAGAAGGCTACCAAGGAGTCCGTTGTGATCAGTTTCTGCCGAAAACAGACTCCATCTTATCGGATCCAAGTAGGTCAACTCTTTTTCTTCTCTGTAATGTGATGTATGGATGTTCCTGTCTGAAAGAAGGTCTTAACTTAGGTTAAGGTTGTATTTCATTCCTTTGAACCTGAAAGCTGCCAAGGACAAAATATGGTGAAGGTATCCTTGTCAGAAGCACAATCATAGCAACTCAGTCTAGGTTCTCTCTCATGTGATTCTTAACTTTCAGCTTAATGCCACCCTGCACCTCAGCTGGGAATCTAACCCAGGCAACCCCCTGCCTTAATACCCAGGCTGGATCCTAATACCACTCTCTTGCAGCAAAAAACATATAGAGAAATAGCCTATTGTTACTCTGAAGAATCTTATGAAACTGAAATTTCATATTGCTTCCTAGACTTTGTCTGGTAATTTGTGATAATGGTGAACTTATTAACATTTACCTTATTGAAAGAAAAAATATGAATATGAAATTACTTAAGATGTTTTCAAATAAACATTAAAAACCCAGCTCCAGTCTGACTACCCTATTTTCATATCAAGGATTTAATACTAAAGAAATTATTTTTTTCTTAATGAAAGAAGACAGTTTTTAAAACCCCCAATACTATTGCTTATTAGTTGCAGTTGGTATATGAATTTAAAAGTAACTTTCCATGTGAAAATGATCAGTTCTGGTTAAAAGCAAAAGTTTTACAGTAGCTGTGATAGTTATTTAACTCTGTTAGTGGTTACTACAATTGAATCACCACTTGAGAAAGGAGATTTTGAGGGACTCAAAAATTAATTCAGTGAGCATAATGACATAAACTGTAAAAGCAATGTTATGGTTTTACATATATCTCATATCCATCATGAGTATTTTGGAAGTTATTTTGTATTGATTATAGAAAGAAGTGTTCTTTCCAGTCCTCCTGTCTTTTGTAACACAAAGAATTTGTCTGGCCATCTTCTCACAAAGTATGTATCAATTTGTCCTGTAAAAGTCTAGCCAAATTACATTGGCAAAATTTAAATGTATCTAAAGATGGAAGTTTTTCTTTAATTTCATTTAAATGTGTTTTATCTTGACAAGGCATTCACCTTGTTGCAATTATTTACAATCTTATCCCCCCTTGAGGAGTGTGACAGTTGCTGAAGGGCCAGCAACCCATCCAACCTTGAAGATCTCTGTTCTTTGAAGTGTGATGTACTATTCTCCTGAGATTATCACAAGAGTGGTGGTACTGTGTTGCTCTGTATTTTCTTCATTTTATGCTTGTGACGACTTCTTGAGCTAGTATCTGAAACTCTACTAAGTTGTGCTTGGATAAATACTTTTGAGACATTGTGAATCTTAGGTTAAAAAAATGAGTTTGGTGTTGTATTTTCTCTCTCTTTCTCTTCTATTCCCCAAAGCTAGTCCCTAAAGTGTTCTTCACTCTCGTTCCTTCTTTATGTCTTTCTCTTTCTTCTCACCTCGTTTTCTACTTTCCATCTTTCTAACGCTTTTTTTCAAATGAAGTTTATATGCACTGTGTGTTTGTGTGTGTAGGTCTCTGTGTGCATGGACACACATGTATTGCTCACTCATGTGTTCATGTGCACATAGGAATGCGATGGTGCACACATGGAGGAGAGAGAAAAACTTAACCATGTGAGTCCTGGGGAGTGAACTAAGGTGGTCAGGCCTTGTGGGAATGCCTTTACCCACTGAGCTACATCACTATCTCACCAGCCCCTTCTTCCATGAATTAATTAATTAACTAATTGATTAACCTTTATATGTGGTTATAAAATCTTTATCAAGTATAGAACTCCAGACAAGGCCTTGTAGATGATACAAAGCAGGTAAAGTAATTTCTCATTAAAATGGAATTTTGTGATCTGACTGGGTTCAAAAGGTAATTTAATGAGGATAATGACATACATTTTCAAATTGTATTGGCAAATTTGAGACTATCAGTGCAGATGTTAAGTTTGTGATACACACGCATGATGATGGGCTCTAAGGGGAGGGGACTCCCTATGAGCCTTTATAGTTAAGATTAAGAATTGAGGTGCATGGAATTATTTGATGCACCAACGGTGGGAAAAGAAATATCAGGCACAATGCCCAACAGGCTTATCTTTGAAACATCTCTCATATCTTATCTTCCACTGGAATGATAAATGCTTTAAATGGTTCTATCATATCAAACAGGAAATTATTTTTATGTAGGATTGCGTAATGAACATTCTTTAATCTATAGTTAAAAAATATACTGATTTGCTCAAAGGGATTCTTTTAGGATTGGGGGTTATAGAATTATGTGAACTTGTTTTTCTGTCACCCAAGTATTCTTGTCAAAAAAAAAAAAAAAAGAATGAAAAAGGCATATGTCTGTATGAGTCAAATGCTAAAACTCCTTGAAATCAAGATCGAAGATTTTTTTATGTATTTTTAGTTTTTAATTTTTAATTTTTTACAATGTTTTCATTGTATATCCCTATTGTACCCCCCTTCAACTCCTCCCAGTCCCACCCTCCCTCTCTTTCCCTCTATCCCCTTCCCCTAGTGCACTGAAAGGGGGTGTTCTCTTTTGCTCTCTGCCCCAAGCAAGTCTCATGAGGACTGCCTGGATCCTCTTTTTCTGTGGCCCGGCAACATCACCAAGGGAAAATAGGGCTCCTGCCCTCTCTGTGTCCTTCTGTTCCCCTCCCCCTTCTTCCATAAAACAACCTAGATGTCCCTCAACAAAGGAATGGATATGGAAACTGCTGTACGTTTACACAATGGAATATTACTCAGCTATTAAAAACAAGGAAATCATGAAATTTGCAGGCAAATGGATGGAACTAGAAAAGATCATCCTGTGTGAGGTAACCCAGAAACAGAAAGACACACATGATATATACTCATTTATAAGTAGATATTAGCCCTATAATATAGGACAAACATATTAAAATCAATAGTCCTAAAGAAGCTAAACAAGGAGGACCCTAGGGAGGTTGCTTAAATCTCATTCAGAATGACAAACAGGATAAACAGCAGAAGCATTGGAAGAGAGAGAACAGGATGGGAGCCTCTGAAAGGCTCCACCCAACAGGGGATCGAAGCAGATGCTGAGACTTACAGCAATCAAAATTTTTACATATTAAGAATCCAAATGGGTTGCTAGTAAGGGAAACAGGGGCTGTCTGTGACATGAACTCAGTTGCTGGCTCTTTGATCATCTCCCCCTGAGAGAGGAGCAGCCTTACAAGGCAACAGAGGAATACAATGCAGCCAGTCTTGATGAGACCTAATGGGCTAGGGTCAGATGGAAGGGAAAGAGGACTTCCTTTATCAATGGACTGGGGGAGGGGGGCATGGGGGGGGAAGAAGGGGGAATGGGAGAGAATGAAGGAAGGGGCTACAGGTGGGATACAAAATTAATAAACTGTAATTAATAATAAATAAAATTTAAAAAGAATCTTTAGATGAGTCCCTGAGTCACATGTTATGTCATATATTTATCCATGTATATATTTATTTATGAGATCATTAATTCATTCCACCAGCTTTTTATAAGCAACTACTAAAAGTAAACTAATCAGCAAGATTATGCTAATACATAGGATTTCAGCTCTGAGGACTCTACCAACTAATGAAGGGGAATAACATGTTTATGCGTAAACACTGAAATGTATTGGTCATAATATTTACATACCTCTTTAAATCATGGCATATTTATCCAGTTTCTAATTCTCATCTGAGAGAGGGCAATGATGGTAGCTTTCGGTAAAAGATGGACATAGGGAAAGCCAGTGCTGGGTAGCTTTTAGTCCACTGTTTCTCATCATTGTCATCACTATGAATATGCAGTTAGATGCTCTGCATGCCAGGAACTGTGCTGAAGGGCTTTGAGACTAGATTATTTCGTTAAATCTTCCCAATCGCAGACGAGTGGGGAGAGCACTGGAAACTGCTCACATTTTATGGATGTGGAAATTAGACGGCAGAGATGCAAACCACACTACCTCAAGGTCACACGGCCACTTAACACTCCAGTCTCACTTCTCTTCGAAATGCCTCTAGGGCCGAAGCTCCTAACTGTTGGGATCTTTTCTCCCTCTCCTGGAACCTTTCCTCTGATAGTTATTTTCAACAAGACATTTATCACTCTAAATTTCATTGACTGAAGCTCAATGACCTGCGGCAAACATCATTCTAAGGAACAATATTTGCACAATTTTCATATCTTAATGCAGCAACTTGAGCTTCCATCGAGATTTAAATCCCTAATGAAATTTCCTTGTCAAAATTCTTACTGAAGGATTGTTTAATTTACAGCTCATGATCTCTTCAGAGTGGCTTCATGCTCAGGGAATAAGCGTTCCTCCAATATTCTGCATGTTTTTCTTCTCTGCCCTCTCCTAACTCCATCTTTTCTTCCTTTTTCTCTTTCTTTCTGCTTGATCCATACATGTATCTACAGACCAAAATCTCACAACAGGGTTTGAATTTCTGTTCTTTTATTTTTCTCCGATTGTTAATGCAGAGTTGGTCAGAAATCTGTACCCTTGACTGTATATTTTGAAATATCACACTAGTTTGCATGTACTTGAGTAGATTAGGCAAAGATGTCAGCAGGGAAGCTACAATGGCTTTATGATAATTATCTGAGACCTAAAATGTAATAAAAAGAACCTATGAGGTGAATCCATACCGAACTCATATGTCCATAATAACTTTATAAAGTGTTTGAAAGCCTGACTTTGAAAACAAAAAACAAAACGTAATATATACAGCTGTCTTTCTTAAAGATTCAGTATATTGTGGGTTGCTATCCCACTAGGTATTTGTTGGAAGGTAGGAAGGTGGTAAGAGGAATGGACTTTGGTCAGGATCAGAGGAGGTGATGCTCTGTGATGAAGTCAGGTATATCACATATGTCTGCCCCTTTCTCCTGACGCTGTCAATCCTGTTCATGGATAATAGTCATCAACTTTCTGCACCTTCATAAACATTTCCAATGTTGCTTTTTTTATTCTCTACAAACAGTGAGCAACCTATGGGTTTATCT